CCTGGTGGTAGAATAAATACTCCTTGGCTTGCTTAGTGAATCCGTCATTGAGCTTATTGCTAGCAGACCTTGGACCATGTACTAGGGTGGGTCATCTCACCCTAAAGAATACTTCCTGAGAGTCCCTAGATCACATCCCTGGAACTGCTTTTGGCCAAAAGTGACTTACCTAGAAGTACCAACCACTCCAATTTTTCTAGGTCACTCCTAGGACTAAATAAATAATCATCTTGCAGTATATCTGTAACTCATTGCACACCAAAAAAAGTATGACTACAGTTTATGCTGCTGAACTGATCAAAGAGAATGGGGGGCATATTTTTAAAAAGAAGAAATCATGGTTTTATTCTTGATAATCTATTCCCTTACATTTGAAATGACTTGAGGATAGGCACAAATATAAATTAATATTGCACACATGGAGTATATAAAAGTGATGGAGTATGATTGAATAGTGTTGCCTCCACTTGGTGGTAATATTTCTTAAGTTTTAATAATCTTTTACTAACTTCATATAATTGTCTATCCAGACAGGAGATAGAAAAACTTCATATAATTGTGTATCTAGACAGGAGATAGAAATGGGGCTGGGGATATAGCTTTGAGGTAAAGCACTTGACTAGCATTTGGTCCCACAAAGCTGAAATTCAGGTCTCTAGGGAGAAGGCATTGCTCTGTGAAAGGCACTGCTCAGCTGGTGTTGGTGTTTGTGAGCCTAAGGGAGAGGCTCCATAGGAACCAGAGTCTGGATTTAGACCTCTAAAACAGGCACACTGGCTGGCTGATGTTGATATCTTTTAGTTAATGAAAACTACACAGAACTAGAGAAAAACTGGATTCAGCTGTTGCTACAAAGGAATGCTGCTACCAAGATGGAGAAGCCTTACTAGGGTGAAGCATATAGAAATCAAAAGACTACAAGAAACAGTCAGGAGATAGACAAGAAGCCAGATGGCAAGAGAAAAAAATGTGATTTTCAGAGTCTCAGCTCAAGCGTGAAAGAAGAGTGAAAATGCATGATTTTGAAGCTGCAGCAATAATTAATAACTGGCATCTTGACTGATACAGAAATTTATACCAGGAATGGAATTGATCTCTCATACATTTTTCTATAGCCCTCATAATGACAGTTAAAGCAGTTAAAGACCTTGCTACCTCCTGTTCCTCAGATAAAATTAGCAGACTCTCATCAATGTGTAATTAGATCAACATGGTTCTGACTGGGAGGTCAACACACTTGTATCTTTGTGGACTGTATTACAGGAGAGAGCAAGAGGTTTGATACAGCCCCAAATCAACACTTAGGGGACAGATTGAGCGTACCTAGCCTGAAAATCTGAAATCCAAAACCCAACTTTTTGAGTACCAACATGACACCAGTGTGGTGTGGAACTGTTTCATGCACAATATTAAAAATATTATATAACATCTATACTACATAAGATGTATATGAAATATAAGTGAATTTCATATTTATTGGGGGATAAATCTCATCTCCAAGATAACTTATTATGTACATACAAATATTCTAAAATCTGAAAAAAGTGAGAAATCTGAAACATATCTGGTCTTAATCATTCTGGATAGGGGATACTCAATGCATACAGTATTACTGGCCCTACCATCTAAAAGCTAACTGCTTCTGGCATTCCTTGCCAATTTGTATGGAAAAGTAAGCATAAGAGTAGATCAGTAACGACATATGAGATGCCAGGGCTGTGTAGATTTGCTCTTGTAAGGGTACTTCATATGGAAGAGCAGCTGCAACTGAGGCATCAGGTGATTAAATTTATAATAATCTACATTCTCCAAGGTATGTCTCACTTCTTCACAGGCCAAGTAGACAAGTTAAGTTGGCATAGGTAATTTCCACCACCCCACTTCTCTCAGATCTTTATTGATGTTATTAATCTCTGTAATCCCTCATTCCCATACCACACAGAAGCAGTATTTTTTATTTACTCTTCTGGTGCATTAGAAGGTGGATCTCCCAGGGCCTCACCTTGGCCTTTCATACTATCATGGTCCTTATTCCAGAAGCAGAGAGCCAATGTGGAGGTTTTGCCAACTACCACTATGTCTGCTCTAATTATACATTCAAAAGCTGATAAAATTACTACATAGTGGCTCTGTGACCCTATTTGAGCCACTGTAAATCAAACGAGTTAAGATTTCATGTTCTATACATTCATCTTTTTTTATGCTTTTTGTGCTTTGGCTTACTTATTGGGAGATACCATATGTTGTTTAAGCTGGTGTGTCTGATTTATTTCACTCAACATAGATCTCTTGCAAATAGGAAACCAAGGGTAAAGGGAGATTGGGAAGAAAAAAGGAAGTAGAATTAAGATATACCATGTAAACATTGTATTGTCTCCCTAGTACAAGAACCTGAAAGAGTAAGTAAAATCTAAAAGGTACAATAGATACTGTGAAAGAGAAGGAAGCTGCTCAAAAGGAAAGAACAACTGGGATGAGGGAAAAGAGAAAAGAAAGAAAGAAGGAAGGGGAAATATATATATATATACACACACACACAAGATAGCTAAGATAATTATACTACTAATTTCTATTGGTTTATTGAAAGGAACAGTTAATGTTTAATGTCTGATCAATCTTACATGCCTATATATGGTTATCTGAGTAAGCACTTGCACAATAACAATATGTAATACAACAACCATTGTTAATTTCCTATCGCCTTGTTTTGAAATTTGGTATTGTTTTTATTGTTTTTATCTTGTTTTGTTTATGTGATTGTTTTGTTATTTTGGTTTTGTTCTTTTCTCTTTAAAATAAAAAGAGATATACCATGTATAGGAACCTAATAACCTCAATGAATGTAAACATTATATGTCAAAACATGAGCTAACAATAATAATAACAAAAATGAAAATGGGGAAAGGGGATTTAGAGGCAGAGGAAGGAATGTGGGTGGGAAGGGGTTTAAAGAAAAGAAACAAACTGTATTATGTGCATGTACCCACTCCCCAAGATGAACATAAACTTCATGTACTCCAAACATGTACTAAGAAGCTTTTTTAAAAGAATAAATAAAAAAAAGATTATATCTCCTGCCTGGCCACCACAAGCCCTCACTTAAACTGGTAGACTGCAGTGGTATTTTGGGTCTCAAGAATTAACATCAATTTAGAGCCGGTGTTTACAAAGCCCTAAAAAGCCTGGATATTTTTTTTCCCCAGCACATAGTCATTTTATGAAATGGTCACTGATCTCTGGAGAAGACTGGGAGAAAGATTTTCAGAATATACTAGTAGTACTACTGCAGTGAATAAGTATTCCTCAAAGGGATTCATACTTACCTTTACTTAAGAAACTGGGTGCAAGGTCAAAACATTGTGGACAAAAGTCATGTTATTGGCATATAGTCATGTACACATACACATAGGATATAGGTATTCCCACTCACTAGTGTATTTTTCAATACTTTAGTAAAGCAGTGTTCCCCAAATTCTCTTGGAGGGGTTGGAGGATTGAAGGGGAAGAAGATGTGCAGGTCATATGTGGTAAATCCATTCCAACATACCTATCTCCCTAAGCCTTTGGACTATCTCTACATTATTCCAGGGAAGTTCTGGTATCTCAGTTTAATCAAAAATAGGTCACTATGGGAGTCCAAGTTTCAGTGAACCTATCAAGTAAATGGTTAGCATCACTTCCAGCTGTGTATGCTAACACATTAAATCTGTTATCTATTATAACTACTGATAAATATACCCATATCAGTAAATTCTGTGCAATCTAGTATAGTATTCTGTCCTTTTTGGTTTAACTTCCTTATAACATACTCCCATACATATTCCCTGGAGTTTTGCTGATATATAAGCAAATAGTGAAATTCTTTTGATTTCTTCCTGGTCAGATTTTGTACTTGCTCTGCTGAGGCAGTTTAAAATATGATTTTAGGGGGCTGGGGATTTAGCTCAGCGGCAAAAGCGCCTGCCTGGCTTGCGCAAGGTCGTGAGTTCGGTTCCTAGTACCGGAGAAAAACAAAAACAAAAAAAATAATAATAAAATAAAATAAAATATGATTTTAGTTATGGGTCTTGTATTCCAAGATCTTCTTGGGGTAGGTTTCGAGGAAATGGGCTTCTCCTTACAAGGCAACTTGCCTAGATAAGATTATTACAGTGTTTTCAATTAAAAGAAGACAAGTCTCTTCAAAAACAGGAGAATAAACTTTTTGATGGCAAGAAAGGCTCAGGAATTTGAGATTCTCAGTTTCTGAGATTAGTTGAATGTCTCCATTTTAAATTTCCCTTCTTCCCAGTCACTGCCCCTATTTTCACATAAGTAACTTGGCTATCATTTCAATTAACACAATTCTGCAGCCTACATAGTTAAATTCTGTGTTAAATTTTTTACTGCTGTGTTAATTATTATTTTTCCAATATTGATTCTGTGACTACAAAAAATATTGTAAAAGATTACAACTGCCATGAAAGCTCTCGTTTATGTTCTGTTTTCTGAAATCGACTTTGTGGGATACTAATATAGCCACTGCAGCTTTCCTTTTATTTGAGTTTGCATCATGATATATCTTTTTTCTTTTAATATATTTCACTGTCTTTCAATTTAAAGTATATTTTTTTTAAAGAGTAATTGATGGCAAACACTTATGTTTTATTCTTTAAGCACTAAATATAAGCATTTCACGTACAATATCACAGCACCACAACTCCTCTGTGCCAACCAACAGATGAACCTCATTTAGCCACCATAAACTATCAGATCATGGCTATTCCTGCTTTATGTCTTAGGCACATAACTGCAGTACAGCAATATAAATATTGATTTTCTAGGTTTCTTAACTGCTAAAACAGTTCTCAGGACTATACCAGATGCTAATGACAGGTCTACGCAGGGCAATTTTAAAGTGCATTTTAGAGGATAATAAATCCTGCAGAAGCTTCAGCCTCTTTAACATCATAGGTTAACAGTTTTACAATTTATAAACATTAAATTAATAGGAAACAATATTGAAAAATTCTCTAAGAGGCACTTAGTTTCTCATAGGCTTCTTCAATGAACATTGACATGTTCTTCATCTGGGATGAATTATGAAGAACATCCAAGTGTTTTAGAAGAACATTCTGGTTTGGAATTAGCATCAAAATTTTTTTCTGCAGTGTGGGTGTTTTCAGACTGTTCTGAGAAAGCTCTGGGAGGGAAAGTATGCTACATCTATCCATCTGAAGCATCTCTTTTGCCTTTTCCTCCTCTTCCTCTATCTCATGTGCCAGAATTTCAATTTTGTTTTGTTTCTTTTTTCTTTTTTTTTTTTTTTTCTGGTGCTGGGAACTGAACTCACAATGTCCTTCTTGCCAGGCAGGTGCTGTGCCGCTGAGCTAAATCCCCAGTCTCCTTGTTTTTTAGACACTGAATATTCCCAGTCATTGACTCTGTAGTCTGTACTATTTTATCTATTTCTTCCTGCAGTAATGCCAGTCCTTCATTAGCTCCAGCCTGTGCACTTTCCATTTTCAGCAGACTTGACACATTAGTTAAATATTTCAGCTTTTGGGGAGGAACTTTCAGGGTTTCAAACAGTTGTAGCAACCTTTTCTTCAGGCAGTTGAGATGATTCTGAATTTGTTTTTTTTCTTTAGTATTACTCAAAATTGCTATTATCACTGCTTCCATCATAGTTTGCAAATGTTCCCTCATATTCTTTGAAAGAGGTTGCCAGGTTTTTCTCTTGTTGGGTGCTCTTTGTCCGTTTTAGATTAATATGATTTGTTTGTCCTTCAGAAGATATATGGTTTAGATGGTTTTTACTTCCTTTTATTATGCTTCTAACCTCTTTCTCTGACAACACTTCATCATCAGTTTTTCTTTTTGAATTTTTTTAATTGTTGAGACATTTTCTTGGAAGCATCAACTTTATTAGGCATCTTGATCTAAGTAGTACAATTATGATGCTTTTAAACAAACTCAACTGAATCTTCTTCAGTGTATCTGAGAGCCAAACTCAGAAATTCGTGCCTAAACAACCTTAAAGTATATTTTTATAGAAAGACTACTTTTACATCTTTCTCTTATTTAAGACTTTTTTTTTTTTAAAGGCAGGATCTTGTGTCTTGAACACAAGGCTGGAATTGAACACCTGGCTCCAGTCATCCTCCTACCTCAGTCTCCCAAATAACTGAGATTATAGGTCCGTGCCACCATGCTGACTCTTTATAAAATATAACAGTCTCTGATTTTTTATTGGAATATTTAGACCATTGGCATTTAGTGTAATTTTTTATATCCTCTGATATTTTTGTTGCTTTTTTGTCTAGTTGATCTATTTGTGACAGTGGGATATTGAAATCCCCCATTATAATCATATTGGTATTTATCTGATTTGTTATGTCCATTAGTATTTGTTTTATGAAGTTGGGAACACTGGTGCTTTTCATGGAAGCTTCATTGTGAAGTCATGATTGATTATATCATCGACCATTAGTGATCAGCTCAACCTTCAGTTCCTCTCCCCTCCCTGGACATTAAGAGTGGTTCAGCTAAAAGTTCCAATCTTTTGATTACACAGTTGATTTCCCTGGTAAACATCCTCTATCCTGAGGCAGTCCAGAAGCCCAGTGAGCCACCTCATTGAAGCAAAAAATAATCCTATCACACAGGAAACTTCAATGGATTTAGAAATTCTTTGTCAGGTGCATCTATCACTCCAGAAATGACAAAGATCTTAGGAGCTGTGTCAGGAACCATAGTCAAAGACCAAAAATACATGTCATAGGACCCAATGCAGCATAGAAGACCTTAATATTCATGTATTTGATATATGTAATTACCCTCCCCCAGTGCTGGGGATTAAACTCAGGGGCTTACATGTGCTAGGTAAGTGCCGTACCACTGGGCTATATTCCCAGCCTCCTCCCCCTTTAAAAATTTCATTTTGAGACATGGTCTCACTAAGTTGCTCAGGGTGGCTTCACACATGTGATCCTCCTGCCTTAGCCTTCCAAGTACCTGTTGTCTATCATTCCCGGCCAATATGTGTGATTTTGTACATAGCGAATACTCTAAAATTTTTGCTACATGCATTCATGAACAAATCTATGAAAATGCTTGGTCCCAACTCTAGGGGAGTTTACATTTTAAGTTGATAATGTCATTTGTTTTCATAAATAGGTGCACAAAATTCCATCTTGCTAGGAACTTCATCAAAGTGTAGTCTACTTCCTCTGTTGCCATAACTTAACATTCACTCTTCATCTTTTGCCTTTAGCTTTCTATTGATGTAGTTAAATAATCCTTAGTTGTAAAAAGAGAGTGGAGGGAAAGGGGAACAAAAAGAATTGACGTGTGTTACGTACATGTACCAATTCCCTACAGTGAACATCATCATTATGTACTGTAAATGTGTACTAGTAAAAATTTAAAAATTTTAAAGCAGGAAGAAGAAAATACTCATTAGCTAAACTAGTGCTGTAAAAACTAGTCTTAGGAAGTTGGTTGGAATTCTGACCTACCAATTACTGTATGACTTTGGGCAAATCACTCAAACTCTCTTTTTTCTCACATCAAAATAGTGTTATTAAAATTATTTGATAAGGCTATGGAGTAGATTATACAACATATGTCAGGCACTCAGGGCAATTGCTCTTACAAAGGACATAAATGATTTGTCAATAAATTCAATAATTTATTTTCATTCCTTACCTTCCTTGATTTCTCTTTAGCAAATTGACCTTAAATGATCTCAGCTTCTTAGGTCCTATTACTTACTGGTTCTTCTCCTACCAATTTCAACAGTTATCAGTATCTCCTTCAGGCTTGTCCTTCTCGGTTCTATATTTAATTTTTGTCACCTTCTTTTCTTTCTCTCATTTATTCTCCTAGCTTCCCTAGCATCATCTTGCAAATGCTTCCTTCTACTGATATTCAAATGTTCAAGAATCATAAGATATATAAATATAAGACAGTTCTTATCTTTTATTAGTTGTAGTAATCAGAATGATTTTTTCATTTCTCCTTTATGCTGAGAAGTGATTCACAAATCACAAATCTATTGAGGATTAGAAATACAAATTACAAATCTATTGAGGATGAGTGTAAAGGGCCATTTACTAGGTCCAGAAAAGCACAATCTAGCAGCCAACAATCTATGTGGAATGTGTAGGATCTCCTGGGTGGGTTTGGAGGGTATACAGAATGCTGTACAATTTGACTGAATAAAGGCAAGGTAATGCTATTCTGCCTAGACAGTACTTCCATCATTTCCTAATAGACTTAATTTTGCATAATTTTCTGTCAATATTTTATAATATCTTTAAGTGGCCTTTAATCTATTGAGCCCTGAGCTACATCCCTCACCCTTTATTTTGTTTGTTTTTTATTTTGAGACATGGTCTTACTGAGTTGTTAAATTGCCTATCTGAGTCTGGGCTTGAACTTGTAATTCTCTGCCCCAGCTTTCCAGAGTGCTGCAATTACAAATACGTGCCACTACACCTGGCATATTGGTCAGTCTTAATTGTAACATCTCCTAACAGAAATTCATTGTATTATTCCTCAAATCTATTATTCTCTCTTTTCCTTATTTTACTTAATGGTGTCCTCATCCATTCAGCTTTCTGAATATAAAAAGAACAATCAGAGAGCCTTTAATTACCCCTCTCCTTCACTCCTTAGATTCAGTTATGGCCCCAATCCTAATGATTATATCTGCTTAGCTTGGATACCCTAAGAAAAAGAACCTGATCCAAGACTTAGGTGCAAGTTCGTTGGGTAATCATTTGTAGGATACAACTGTAAGGAAGTAGATGTGAAGGAAGCCAAACAAATGCTTTATTGGCAGGTTACACTATACTCAGCTGAGACTCAGTACCACTGGAGAACTCTGGGAAATGGTGTAGAACATACCTCAGTAATCTCCCATATATGGACTGTATACAGCTGCCTAACCATCATTTGTTGAGGACTTCTCCAGTTTATATTACCTCCCAAGCACTTTGCAGGGCCTTCCAGTCATAAGCTATCTACCTGTACTGAAAAAGTAAACCTCAAGGGGATATAACCGGGTATTTACACAATCTAGCAGGGTCTTGACTAGAGTAAGGGGCAGTAAGGAATTCATTTTAGGTACAGAATTTACCTTTATTCTTTCTTCCTGAAGTCCTTTACACTTCCAGCTCATCCTCTATGTTGCTAATGTTGCTAAGGGTTCTCAACCACTGAGCTACACACCCAGTCCCCTAGGAGTTAACCTTTAAAGATACCAATTTCATAAAATCTGTCCTCTGCTTTAAAAGCACAAAATAGAGCCCAAGCTCCTTGATTTAGCATGCTTAATTCTTTACATGTTGATTATAGTTTGTTTTTTAGATTGGGGGTCTCACTAGGTTGCCCTAACTGGGCTCAAACTCACAACCTTCCAGCCTTAGCCTCCCAAGAAGCAGAGATTTACAGGTATGCTATTGTGCCCAACTTTACACTGTTATGACCTTTCTTAGCCTCATCTTCTGTCACTGTCTTCTACCTTCACTGTTACATGAGCAATTCACTTTTTGAACTTTTATACCCTTGAATGTATTGTTCCTTCCTCAAATAATACCCCCCAGACAAAAATTTCTTACTAATCTGCTAAAATTCAATTTGGAAATCTCTTTGTAAAAACTTCCTTGACAGCCCTGAGAAAATTGTTTATTCCTTGTCTTCCTGAGCACTAGCTCACGCTGATCTAACTTCAGTCAATAACAACAGTAATAACAGTAGTACAGTTTGAAAAGTTTGGCAGTTGAGAACTTAACAACCATTCAATAGAATGGTGGGGTGCTGTGAGGGTGGGAGTGAGAGAGATTTTAATCTTTCAGGGTACTTTTGTTGTTTATTAACATTTCTGTAATTAGTACTGGCATGGTATTACTTATCCATACCATTTGGTGATATTTTTAGTGGACCAGATGAGTGAATCGACAGCCCAAGAGGAATCCAAACCTGCTCAGGTTCCTAGCCTACAAAGATTTCTAATCATTTATGAAAGGATTTGACTCAGATGTTGTGGTAGACACCTGTAATCCCAGCACTCTGGGAGGCAGAGGCAGGAGGATTGAAAGTTTAAGACCAGCCTGGGCAATTTAACTTAGTGAGACCCTGTCTCAAAATTTAAAAAAAATTTTTTAAATGGTTGGAGATGTAGCTCAATGTGCAGGCCCTGGGTTCAATCTCCAATACAGGGTGGAGGGAAGGATTTAAAATTCAGCATTCTTGGGAAAATTGAAATGCAATGACATATTTTATACTGGGTTTTGTAATTGAAATGTTCCACATCAGATTTTGACAGAAATGTACAAAAAAGGTCAAAATAATAGTTGGATCATGGTGACCTGCCACTAGTTGGTTAGCATTCCTTAATTATCCTTAATTCCTTAACTGTTCAATTTGTTTATACAAACACTTTTGTATAATTTTGTTTGGAATGATATTTACTCATTATGTGAAAGGTTTTTTTTTAATAAAAATCTTGCTATACTAGCGTATAAGATGCTAGATTTAACCCCCAGCTCCTTTTAGAGACCATTGAACTAACACTGTTTTCACTTCAGGCAAATGGAGAAGAAGACAAAGAAAAACAGGACTCAACTGAAGTACAAGAGCCTGTTGAGGTATAGTTGTCATGAATAATCAGATGTTAATCCTGGAGAGTAAACTAGATAAATTACTTTTTTTTTATTAACAAGGATAAGAAAAATTGGGTATTCAAGAAGATAAAATAGTAAATAGAAAACTGCAAATTATGTTGTTAAAATGCATTTCAGGCACAGGAATTTCTCATAGATAGGTAAATTATTTGTGAGGAGCTAATATAAATTATAGATAAGTTAAGCTTGCTTTCTAAAATCAGAATTATTATTTTAAGTACAATAAGCACCATTTCTAGAATAATATCACTGTTCTTTTTGAAAATGTAATTTCATGTTAATAATTTAAGTAATTTTGTGTTTAAATAAATATTACCTTCGTGAAAAACTACAATGATGAAAAGGAAGCAGTTCAAAATAGTTAAAACAGATTCACATTAATTGACTAATACGAGTTTTTAAAATATCCTATTTTTAAAGTACATCGGCAAGAGCACAAAAAGCTATTCTGCCACCATTATTCATAAAATTAATATTTAAATTCTTCAGTTAAGATGAAATGTTTTTCTTTCTATACACATAAGTAAAGTGTTGCTAATAGCTTAAAAAGCGGCATTTTCAAATGTTTGATTCTGCTATGATACATTCTCAAATTATACTTATAGGAAGTATTATATAATTCAAGGATTAATACACAACTGAAATACTTCCAGCATTTGTTTTGTTAGCAATAGGAAGATGAAGTGACATCTTGAGTCAAACATTTTATCTTGTTAATGCAATAAATTATGATTATTGCTTTGCTCCCAATGTGCAATATTAAATCCTCAAGAAAAGGTAGACAGGAATATTTAGTAATGCCTACAGAGAAATTAATTCCCCTTAAACTGTGAGAGTTAATGCAACTTTGAGGAAAAGCAACTTGTTTTGAAATTGGTATTTCTTTTCTTCTTTCAAAGAGTTCACAGAATATACCAGGTGTCTCTGCAACAGAGAGCAGCAACCATGTGGTGGAAGATGCAAAAGATGAAATAAAATCCCAAGGTAGAGAACTAACTATTCTTCTTCTACAATAAAATCTAAAAGAAACATTACCTTCTCATTGGGGATGTATTCTTCAAAACTTTTCATTTAAAAAATATAATCCTGGGGGTTATTTTAAATATAGTTTGAGAAATAGTTCAGATTCCTTTTGCCCTATGTTAACACTTTTGAGACAACTTGTAACTAGTCATCTTTTCGTATTTAAGAGAAAATTTAGTGAGGAAACTTGGCTAATGCCTAGTAGATAATCCACTAATATGAAAAGAAGATGATTTGTAGTGATTTGGGCCGCTTATTGTTCTTGGTCCCTATTATAGTTTAGATCTAAAACATTCCCCAGAACTCTGAAGTGTTCAGAGGTGGGAGTTTTGGAAGGTGATTGGATCCTGGAATGCTAATACTCATTAATAGATTAATCCATTAATGAGTTCATAGATGAATGTGCTAACAGGATCTGGGACCTGCGTGAAAAAGGTGGGCCACTGACAAAATGACTTGGAAGGGTATACTGTTATCCCTAGCTCTTCCTTCCCTCGGCTTCCTACCTTCCATGAGTTTAGCAGCTCTCCTCCACCTTACCCTTTCTGCTTTGGAGCCAGCAAATGGGCTGAACCCTCTGAAACTGTAAGCCAAAATAAACTTCTCCCTGTTTAACTTGTGTTTTGTTCCAGTGACAGGAAAGTGACAAATACAGTCATGTTTATTATTTTACTACTAAACTTGACCACATACTTATACTGTTTGATCTGAAACTTGACTCCTAGCCTCACCTTTTACCCAAATTCCACATCATTATGAGGATTGAAATTTTATGGTATTGGGGCTGGGGATTTAGCTTAGTGGCACAGCGCCTGCCTGGCAAGTGCAAGGTCGTGAGTTCGATTCCTGGTACCGGAAGAAAAACAAACAAACAAACAAAAAAATAGAGAAAGAAATTTTATGGGATGAAAAAGGTAACAAATTAGTGGATAAGACATTCACCTCTTTCACTGTAACTACTCCTAATTCCAGAGCTTTAGTGAGAATCTGTACTAACAGAAATTCTTTACAATATTTAAAATGCAACAATTTGACTTTAAGTTACCTTCAAATCAATTTACAAGTATTGTCTGTTTAGTATGTGCTAGGCTAGGCTGGGCTAGGCTGAATTATAACAATAATTATCAAAGTATTTTCTAAACCATAAATTTCTGCACAGATACTAGTTATAACCTTTGGGTGCTTACTTTTTCCTAAAGTGTTTTCCTATCTTTTAAACCGATTATGAGCCGTCATTTACCTTTTCTTCTTGTTACTACATGTTAAGAAGTAAAGTTCATAACCCTTGGCTTGTCTTTCAAACAAACAGTTTACACAGCTTCCTTAACTTTTAAATTTTTTTTCCTTACAAGTTTTTACTTGTCCTTCTCTACCTGCCCTAACACCTTAGCTTCCTGATTTTACTTTCTCCTTACTCTATCCTTCCGCTACTCCTTTGCCTTTACCTTAATCACCTGGGCCAGGATTGTAAATTAACTCTTTCATTTTAAATATGCCAAACAGAATTGTGATCAGGGTAATTTGTTATAAATTTAATTAGGTGTTCATTTTAATTAGTTTGTGGCCAAATTTGTGTCTGTAGAATTTCACATACATAGTCCATCATGTAATTTATTGCCACCCCAGAAAAATATCAATTAAAAGTTCATGGATATTCCCATTCTTGTACATACTTTCAATTTCTCGTATTGCTTTTTTAGTAGAGGGAAGTGTGTTTTATTTGTCTATTCATTCCAGTATACGGTAAGTGCTGCAAACGTTGTGGTTGCAGTACAATATACTGTACTTTTTTCTTCAGTGATCAGTAACTATAAAACCTTATATTCTGACTCCCTACTTTCTAAACATCAATATATACATTTTATATAAATAAAAAATGTAGTATGTATGTATAAAAGAAGTAGGAAGAGGAACTATTATTTCAATTTTGACCTGTCAAAGGAAGTATATGGTATATGTCATAATCCTTGTTATATACTTGTCAAAACTAAAGTGATGTGACCTGGCTAAGCAGCCCCCCATACATACTCAAGTACTTATATATGCATAAGAAATAGTGTATCCTATCAATTCTTCATTCCAGTTCTTCTCTGTTTGGGGCTATAAGTTTAACTTGTAGTTTGAAGAATACTTTAAAAAATATATCAGTTGCCCAGCTCTGGCTTATTATACAAGCCTTAAGCTTAACAAAGTTTTGTAGGAAGCTGACTTTTCCTATAGCAATTGAATTTCAATTCCAATATATTGAATAGTGCTTTTCTGCCTGTTCTGTAGCAATCATTTACATTATGCACAAATGTTGAGAAATCTTGTTAAGAAGGACAAGGCTGCTACATTTCAGATAGATCCTATGTTTAAAGAACATCATACAGCTTGTTGAGTAACTCTGCTACATCAATTCTCACGAGTTTAATCAGCAGCCAGTTCCACTAATGTTATATAACATTAGAAAGAGCCTGCTAAAGGCTCATTATAATGTGCATTATAATGCATTCCCATTTATGTCCTTAGATAGATTTTGTACTGAGGCTATGCCTGGCAGTGAGCTGTGCACTAAGCATGGGAAATGATAAAAATTACTTACAAGGCTAGACCTTGTAAATTATGAGTAAGAAATTTTTTGTACCTACTTATTTAGTTGAAAGCATTTATGCCCACAGTGCCTGAATAAGTTTTTGCATGTTAGAAGATGGACTAGTAGAGAACTAAAGGTATGAGAGATAGGGGAGAGATTGAGTCTTAATTCTAGGAAGACTTGATGAAATAGATCCTGAAGAAGAGTTCTAGTGCTTAGCATAGTGCCTGGCACGCAGTAAGAAGTCAGTAATTGTTTGTTTAGTGAATGTATAAAGGAACCAGTCAATTTATCTGTAAAAGGTTTAGGAATATACAAGCTCAGACCTACTGAAAAAACTAGCACTTCTTTGAAGCTATATTTAATCAAGCCTCTAAAATAATTTGCCCTTGAGGCAGTTCTGTCATTTGTGATCCTTGAATTCAGAGGTCACTCAGTCAAAAGGCAGTTTCAGATAGGCTTTTTCAGAATCTTGATTTATTACCTCTGGTATTGCTATGCCTCTTTTTCTTTTCTTGGTTTTACGGCTCTACGAGAGAAGTGTTTGACAAGAGTTGTAATGAAACACATGTCTACTTCCATTCTGTGTATCAATAGGGACAATGCAAGCACTAGGATTATTGCTTGGCAACCCTTAATGGCCAGGCACACTAGAGAAGTACTAGCAGGCTGCAACAAAGATAGAGAATGCCCTAGTTCATCTGTTAGGTTACTAATGAGCTATGGCAGATGGGTAGATATTTACTTGCTGTACATCTGTAGCACTATCCTTAAAGCAAACAGAGATATATCTGCCTTGGTTTGTGCTGGACAGATTAGAGAAAAAAGAGTACATTAGAATCCATGGACTTTAAAAAATTGCTCTTTCACACTCATTTAAAAATAAAAGCATTGTATATTAATGAGTATTGTGACAAAACAAAATATAGATACACCCTACCCACTCACCTGCCTCCAAAATGATTTGTTTGCAAGTCCAACTGAGAGGTGAGAGGGTGCATTATACTACCCTCCTCATTTTCTTCTTCTAAGAATATGAAAAATTGGCCTCACACAGATATATATTTGAAAACAAGAGAATTTTAATAGTTTATTGAGATAATTGTGGCATTTCTTTAATACTACATCAAACTTTCCTAGTGGCAGTTTCTTAAAAGTTGGTTGTGATGTGGAATCTGTAGCCACATTATACTGTTACATTAAAATCTATTTGTCTCTCCTGTACTTTGCTTGAATCTTTTACATGTGTGTGATTTAGTAACATCAGAGATTAGTCATTAGGAAATATCAGTTTATTGATTTATACACATCTAAGTGTTAACTTATTTCATAATGTATCAAAAACCACACCCATCAGTATTCAAGATACACCAAAGTTTTATAATGTCACTACTTCATCAAGGATACCCAGAGAGAAACAGACTTGTCTTACATGTATGTAGTGGTGAATACAAGTGGAGACTACATATTCCATTGGTACCACTGCCTTAATTCATCTTTTGGGGCCAGAATTTTACTCTTCATTATTTTTTTTTTTTTTTGCTTTGGTTTGTTTTATTTTGCTTTATTTATTTTATGGAGTTAGGACAGAATGATTGGCATTATGTTTTTCTTTCTTCCTTTTCTTTTTCTTTTTTTTTTTTTTTTTGATACCAGGAATCAAACTCAGGACCTCACACTCGCCAGGCAGGTGCTGCACCACTGAGCTAATTCCCTGGCCCTATGTTTTCCTTTATTAGCTTAATTTAGGTATAATCTACATGTCCTAAAATATACCTACTATAACTGTGTAATTTAATGATTTTTATAAATTTACAGATTTGTATAACCAGCACCCACAATTAATTTCAGAACAATCTGATTAACCCAAAAGTCTATCATTCTTACTTATAGTCAAACCCTGCTTCCACTCTCAGCCCCAGTCACTAATCTCTTTCTATAAATTTAACTTTTCTTTACATGTCACAGTAATAGAATCATATGCTATGTGGTTTTCTGAATCTTCCTTTACTTATCATAATGTTTTTGAGGTTCATCCATGTGGTATGTATCAATAGTTCACCCTTTTTTTTTATTTTAAATAAAAAGAGACAAAAAACAAAAAACCCAAAAAACAAAATTCCAAGAGACTCAGAAAGGCTCTTTCTCTGCTACTTACCACTCCTCCTCTTGGTCCTCTCTCCTATAGTTTCTTTAATCAAGAGAATCCCTTATATTTATGCATATATTTGAAGAATACACATATAACCTTTCCTGTCATTTCTGGAGTTTTGGTAGGGAAAAGATATAGATCTATATCTCCATCCTGCATTTAAAAAAAATATAAGAGAGGCTGGAAATATAAGGGTGGAAAGAAATATATTTAAATATATATATATATATTTATATGGTAGACTCTTAACTGCCTACAAAGGGTATATTTCCCTAATTTGCATGCTATATCTTCTGCAGTATATAGAAATCACTTGATATCAAAGAAACCTGGTGCAACCCTAACAATCAAGGAAAAAAGTTATTCATAGTAATTCCATTTTCCTTTGCCAGTGATTGGTCTTGGAATGGGTATGTATCATAATTAACATCAATGAAATATAAAAGGAAGTCTTTCACTGAACAAAGGATTTTGTCTCCTCTGGAATAATAAAACAGAACCCCAAGAGGAGAAAGTCTCTTTGTCCCCAACCCTTTTTTTCCTAGAAGTGATCTCTGGAGCTGTAAGATCCATTGTGTGATCATGAGGCACAAGTACAAAAAATGAATGAAGAACAAAACAAATGCTCTAGGTACTTAATGAACTCACTGATCTACTGAATAACTTCTGATTAAGTCGACAGTAAATGTCTTTATGGTTCAAGTGACTGTTGTTACACTTTGTGGCACTCTCAGCTGTTTTCAGATATTCTAATATACCATATAAATGGATATAAAAACTTTTTTTGAAATAATATTTTAGGGCTATATACATTAAAATCTACTTCTAATTTTTCTTGTATTTCTTTTTTTCTCCCCAGAATTAAACCTGGAGGAGCAACTGAAAACCTCAAAAGATCTGACAATGGACTTGAACACTGAAATCACAGGGAATATGGTAATTAGAAAGCCTGCAAGAGTGACTTTTAATTTTGAAGAAACTGAACTGAAATCAGAGCTAGAAGAACCATGGAGGAAAAACCTTTTTGAAAGACTGGAGGTAAGATCCCAGGCAATGCAACAGAAAATAATGGAGAAGGATAATCTGAAGAAGGAGTTAGAAAAGAAATCTGAAAAAAAGCTCCCTAGGGATAATTTGGCCAAAGAGTGGTTTAATACTGACAGCACAGCACTGAGTACTCGTGCATACTTGCTTGACAAACTTCTACCCACCTTAGTTCCTGCAATGGAAAAAATGTTAGCACAACGCGAAAAGAAACTTTTGACCGAAGCTGATATTTCAACCAAATTTGATCCAATTACTCATTTGGGAGAATGCTTAATGAGAAATAATCCTAATTATATCAAAGATCCAGGAATGTCTGGATACCAGAGGGTGATGAGAGAAGTTACAGAAGACCTGAAGATACATGTTCCTGACACTATCTGCAACAGGTACAATATGTTGTATTTTCAATTAACCTATATCCTTACATTTAAAAGCTGGTAGAACAATAATGTGCATACAAGCAGGACTTAAAAGAAGTGATTTTATAATTTCTCAGAAAGTATTAATCAAGTTACTATTGTGTACTTCACTTTTTCCAGAAACTGTTAATGCTAATGAATTATAATAAGTAAGTTCTTTTTATTCATGGATCTGTCCTCTGTGATTCCAAGTGTATATTTCTTCCTTTTTCTCACATATGCCAGGCAAACCCTCTACTACTAAGCTACATCTCAGCTCTATATATTTATTTCTGTATTTGTTTGTCTGCCTATACTGGAAAGTAAGCTATATGAGAATTGAGACTTCCTAGAAATTTTACTTTCCAAGTAGGCAATATATTCGCCTGGCCTGAAAAAACAAAATTTATAAAATATATAAAAAGTTATATAAAAGTTATACACTGAAAAGTTTCCCTCCTGTCCTTATTCATCATCCATCTGATACTCTGCCTCTGACATAGATAACTACCATTCTTAGTTTTCTGTGCATCTTTACAGAGTGTCTTTATGCATATAACAACAAATGAAAGTTCTTAATTTTTTTCCTTTTACACAAGGACACAGATAGTCCCCATGTCAGGCAGAAGATTTTTTACTTCTATGTAGTGTATACTTAACTTATGATATCTGGATTTTAAGTCACTATTGTATTTCAAAATAGTTTCTTCTGGAAGTATTATGATTTTAATTTTTATTTTAAATATTGGTCCACTTGGAATTTGTCCTAATGTAATATGTTAGGTATGGATCCACCTTTACATTTTTTCAAATGACTACTTAGTGGTCCCACTGATTTGAGATAAATCTTTATTATTAAGATTCTGTATATTTTGCAGTGTATTTCTGGTTTTTCCTTATTTCATTGGCATTTTCCCCTTTCTTCACTAGTACAACACGACATTAATTCTTGAGGTTCTTAAGTACATTTTGATTAATCTGACAGTGCTGATGGCCACTATCTTTTCCCTGATGTCTCCTGCCTAATCTAGTGTGTTACCTTTTTAAAGTAAACTTTAGAATTAAATTATCTACTTAAAAAAATAATGTGAGGAGTGAAAACCAAGACAAATCTTTAGAAGAACTTTAAAAATTTTTTTTGTGGTACTGGAGATTACACCCAGGACATCTGTACTGAGCTCCATCTCCAGCCTTTTTTTAACAAAAATTTGAGACAGGGTCTCATTAAGTCACTAAATTTTCCAGGCTGGCCTTAAATTTGCAATCCTCCTCCCTTGATCCCCCAGAGTGCTGGGATTATAGGCATGTATCTTGGTTACTTTCTTGCCTGGTGTCTTGGTTACTTTCTTAGGGCAGCATGGCAGAAGGAATGGCAGAGAATTGCTCAGGGCATGGCAAATAGGAGGCAGAGAGCAATCAAGGGAGGAGTGAGGAAATGTACCATTCCAGGTCACACCACAATAACTCACCTCCTCCAACCTGGCTTCACCTTCCAACATCACACTTAGCTATAAACTCAATAGTGGACTAATCCACTGATGAGTATCACACCCTATGACCCAGTCACTTCCCCAAGCCCCACCTATGAGCACATGAGGCTTAGGGGGAAAAATCTAGATATAAACCATAACATTCTGGCACACAACAGTGGAGCCAGCCAACTATGAACTGAAACTGTACAAACTATAAGTCAAAACAAACCTTTCCTCTTTTAACTTGCAAGTGTTGGGTATTTCATTCCAGCAAAGAGAGAAGTAATTAGGACGCCTGGCTCCTTAGAGAAATTTTTACAGAAATCTGATTATATAGTGCTCAAGCACTTGTCTAACTTGCCTAGTGAGCACAAGATCCTGGGTTCGATACCCAACATCACAAAAAAAGCCCTAATAAAATAATCTGTGTATGTTAATTAACTTAGGAAATGAACATCTTTAATAATTACAAATGTTTCTATGTGAGAAAGTATATCTTTTCATTTGCTTTTCTTGTTTTGGATCCATCATTGTTGTCTTAAATTTTGTGTAGGTTTTGCATCTGTCTTGTCAGGTTTAATACAAGTTATAATATTTTTCTGCCATTGTGAGTTGGACTTTCTTCTTTCATTAGATTTTCTGTCTAGAAGTAGTCTGAAGAAATGAAAGCTATTACTTTTTTTCTTTTTTTCTTTCTTTCTTCTTTATTGTTTTTGAGACAGGGTTTCCCTATGTAGTTCCAGCTGGGCATGAACTCACTATGTAGCTCAGGCTTGCCTTAAATTCATAGTGATCCTCCTACCTTAGCCTCTGAAGTCCTAGGACTAGAGGCGTACACCACCACAGGCCAAAAGCTATTACTTTCTATACGATTTTGTGCTCTGCTACCTTACTGAGTTCTCTTAATTAATTTATTGGGTTTCCTAGGGCAGTAACCATATTGTCTGCAAATAGTAGTTTTCCTTCTTCCCTTTCAATATTTATACCTCTAACATATTTTTCTTACCTAATTGCATTGGTTATTATCTAAAATACAATGTTAAATAATAGTGGTGATATGAACATCTAGTCTTGTTTCTTACTCTAGTAGAAGTGCAAATGGTTTTTGTGTCACTGCTTCCTTATAGCAGTTTCTTTTATGTATTAGTCTTACTCTATTTGGATGTGAAAATCACTTTATTACAATAAAGATTTATTTATGGGTAAAGGATGCAGCTCAGTAGTAGTGGTTGCCTAGCTTGTGCTAAGCCCTAGATCTGGTCCTCTGTACTGCAAAAATAAGTAAATAAATAAATAAATAAATAAATAAATAAATAAATAAATAAATAATTTTTCTTATAGGGTGCTTTTTAAAAATCAAGACTTATTTTTGACTTTTTAACACCTGTAGAGATAATCTTTTGATTTTCTTTCTTTCTTTCTTTCTTTCTTTCTTTCTTTCTTTCTTTCTTTCTTTCTTTCTTTCTTTCTTTCTTTTTTTTTGAGACAGAGTCTTGCTATGCAGTTCCAGCTGGTTTTGAGCTCACTTTGTAGCCCAGGCTGGCCTCAAACTTGCAACAATCCTCCTGCCTCAGCCAATCATTTGATTTTCATCTTAGGTCCATGAATGAGAAATTTTATTTATAGATCTCAAACACTGAATTGTTTGGAATTCCTGAAATAAATCCCACTTGTATGCTATGTATTTGATTATATTGAAATATGCTTCCTACTAGTGGAACAGAATAAATATTTCTCTTTTAATTAAATAATTGAAGAATACTGTATATATCTGTATCTACATATGTACTTTTCTACTAATAGTGTCAGTAAATGAAAATAATATTTCCCCCTTTGAGGAAAGTTTCTTAATTATTTTCTTATTTATTTATGGCATTTGGGATTGAACCAAAGGCCTTTCACTGAGCTGCATCCCCAGCCCTTTCTAATTTTTTTAAAAGTTTTGAGACAGGGTCTTTCTAAATCACTAACTTGCCCAGGCTAGGCTTAAACTTGTGATCCTCCTGCCTCAGGCTCTCAGACTGCTAGGATTACAGGCATGCAGTATCACACCCAGCTCTTTCTTGAACATCATTGTAGATGCAAAGATTTTTTTTTTTTTGGTACCAGGAATTGAACTCAAAACCTTGTGCTGTCCAGGCAGGCACTTGTGCCACTGAGCTATATCCCCAACAGATGCAAAGATTTTCATAGAGTATTTTAATCGGTTAGTCACTTTTTCTTTTTAATGCTCAAATTCTGCCAACTTTGGGTTCTATTTTCTAACATTGTTCCTTTAGCTTTGAAAGAAATTTCATGCATTTTTAAAAAATTTCTGGCTCCTTTTAATGAGGGTCACTCATTTGGGAGATAGGAATGTTCCTACATATGGTCTTGTCATTATTTCTAGGCTCTTCAGGACTAAGAAATCTAATTTTATTTAATATTTATAAGGTTTATTATAGATATACACACACTTTCCATTTCAGAATCAATGATAGACATTCTTAGTATAACAAAATATTTATATAATGTATTAATTCCATCTCCCTTTAAGAACTTTAGTGGGAATATTTATTCTCTATAAATTTTATAATTTTTTTATTTTTAAAATTTAATTTTAAAAGACATGCTCAAAAAACAGGGCTATAGAACATACCTATAAGGGAAATGTATGCTTATTAGTTTTAGCATATATGGCCAAAAGATGCTAAGTGAGAGTATAAAAATTTAGTCCATTAGCAAGCCAAGCCTTCTCTTTAATTTTCACAACAGTATCCATAATGGGGATCTAACTCTTTCAGTATTGGTACATTGATCTCAGAGGAAATCACTAAAAAATGTCTACTTCCTTTGTTACAATATTGGATGGCATAAGAAATAATTTTTAAAAATAAGTTCATATTGATCATATCATATCAAATATGATGTTTCAGGGATTTTATGTAATCTCCTTGATGTTATGTTTGAATCTCTTTTTTTGTCTTGAATTTTGGTTCCTAACAACATTGATGTAATTACTGATTTGCTTTACTCTATAATTTATGCAAAAAGCTTCAAAATAATAATGCTATTAAGCCTGCTAACTAATAATAAAAATACCAAATGAGGTTTTAGGCTTATCTCAAACTTTTTTGGTCCTTAGAATATATATATGGATAGACTATATATATGTATACATACATATATATGAATAGAATGCTGAAGAAACCAGGATTTAAATTCCGTTATGCCATAGAAAATCTTTTTTAAACATGACTCAAAGCTATGAAAATATCGATAAATTTGATTGTATAAAAGTCAAGTTCTTTGCCTGGCAAACTGAGTTGCGATTACTGAGTTCTGCTGTAATACAAAAGCAGCTATAGGCAATATGTAAATGAGTAAGCATGGCTGTGTTCCAATGAAACTATTTGCAATCACTGAAATTTGGATTTCATATAATCTTCACGTGATACAAAATATTACTCTTCTTTTGATTTTCAAAAGCCATTTAAGAATTAGCAACCATTCTTAGCTTTTGAACCATACGTACAA